AAGAACCACAAGAGATCCCCAGTCCTGTACTCATATGTCCATAAATATATACTGCCCCCTCTCTGCACATGTGGATGAGGAGCTCCAGATGTGTGTGGTCCACCTTCATCGATCCCCCTCTCCCACTACTTGAACTGATTATCGATCAGGGTGCCCTTCATCTTCGCCTTCTTGGCCTCCAGCTCGGCCAGCTCCTGCAGCCTCCTCTTGCTCATGCCCTTCCTCTCCAGCTGCTTCTCGATCACCTTGGCGTTCTGGGCGTACGAGTCCGCCACCTCCCGGGCCTCGATCTCCTCCTCCTCCTCGTCGATGGTGGACACGGTGACGGAGCTGAACTTGCCCATGTCCTTGGTGCGCTTGGTCATCATCACCCGGACCTTCTTGGGCGCCTCCGGCTGCTTCTGGCTGTACACGCTGGTGTTGCCGAAGCCCTGGCCGAACTTCACCACGGCTCCGTCCACGATGAAGGTGGCCGGGTTGTTCTTCTCCTGGTGCTGGTAGAAGAGCAGCAGCCCGCACTTGCCGCACTTCTTGCGGTGCTGCCTCTCGATGCCCTCGGCCCTCTTCAGGTACGCGTTCTCGTCCACCTCCACGTTGCAGAACTTGTGTGCGTGTTTGGCGGCGTCGATGACCCGGGCTCGGTCCCGGGGCCTCATGGGGAGCTTCTCCAGCTGGCAGTCCAGAACCAGAACCATCTGGCCGCAGAGGCAGTAGTAGACGTGGAGAGGCTTTTCTCCGTCGTCGTACTCCTCTCGGTCTCTGGTGTCCGAGCACACCACACTTCTGGACACGACCTTCGGCATGTTTAAGCTCTTAAATGTAGAAGAATTCAATAATAATGTTGTTGTTGTTGTTGTTGTTTGCTTACGACGAAAGAAACACGACCGGAGTGCGTCGTTGTTTCTGTTCCTACAGGGAAGTGTCTCCGTGTATTTCCTCCGCGTTATTAGTTCCGCAGGAAGCCGAGATTTCAAAATAAAACCACCTTGTAGCGGTTTACAACATAGACATATATACATGTATATATATGCCATATATATATGTCTGTGGTTTACAATGTGATGTCTGTTTTTATCTTTCTTTTAGAAAATGTTTTATCTCATATCTACGGAAGCGTATTGCATTCACTTGAAATTGTATTTTTTTTTTTGTTTTGTTTTTTCTGAGTCATTTTTTTCTGTTTTTCGGACTAATTTATTTTCTGAGTTTAGAGAGCATTTGAAACAATAGACGCATTCATTCCTTTACTTTGATCTGGGTTTAAGACACTGGGAGATAGTCCTGTCTTTAAGTCATATACGCAGATGGTATTATCATTAGTTTGTCGACTCTAACTAATGAGAGGCACCTGAGGACTTTGGGAGTCACTTGCAGGTTGGAGGTTCTCGCGGGAGTATCACGATAATTCAGAAAAAAAATTACTACGAAAAACAGAAAGAAAATTACTTAGAAAATCAGGGGAAAAAAATAATCAGAAAAACAGAAAAAAATATTCGAAAAAACAGTTTTTTTTTCCAAGTGAATGCAATACGCTTCCGTATATATCCATATTATACTATTTATTATTATTATATTTTATTTTAATATTCCTATTCTTTTGTTATGTGTATTTGTTTTATTGTTGCTGATATTTGGTGGTTTAAATTGATCATTTTTCACTGTATCGACATATTTGTACAATGTATTGTAATGTTTGTGCACCTGAAATCTGAGCAATTAAAAAATAAAAAATAAAAAACCTGTAGCAGTCATTATCTTATTCTTCTTTTTATTTTATGGCAGATTGCAATCATTTACTCCACCTAGAGTATGTAGACATGGGTGTAACACTGCTATCAAACATGCGTATATAAGATACCCAACTAACCTATCCTGACTTTACTACATCCTGTGATATAACTTTGTATCCTTCAAAAATTCTGTGTATCTTTTATCCCTTTTCCAGTCGTCCCCACTATTCCCTCCATTCTCCACTCTCTACCGGCCTTCCTGATCCTTTGTATAAGCCGTTCCCTCTCTTCTTTATATTTATTACAATTTATGTGTTCTACATTTTCTATTGTTTTGTAATGTGAGCATTCTTCTGACCTATTTGTACCAGATATGAAAAGAGTTTTGTTTAGACCTGTGTCAGAAATATATTCAAATACACTAGGAGAAAGTAATATATTTATATTAAATGCAAATACTGCATGTTTTTTGCCCCAGACTGCATGAGATTAGAATTGGACTATATCTCAAAATGTGATGTGATCCTGATTCTATAAATCCTAATACTACCCAGAATCCAGATCAAATGTTGCTTGTTTGGTTTATTTTGAAACTCTAAAGTGGAGATTAGGATAGTTCTGATCTAAAAAAAAATCAGGATGATCCAGAACTTACTGGGAAGGTGGATCCAGCATGAATGTAGAGACATGTAGCACACATTTAATCATTATTGTATTAAGTGTTTGCATATCAAAGTAAAACAGATCATGCACTAGAAATTAAACAATTACCCAATAAATTGATATTTTTCCATCTGTGTTGATGAAATTACTTTAAACCAACAGATTGAGGCCTAAAGACTGCAAATCTAAAATTCTCTAATCCTGCTCTTGTGTTGTCTGGATCAGTATTTATCTGGGACAGCGAAGAACAATTCTGGATGATTAAAAGGTGACAAAGAGATGAGCAAGACATTTACTTCCAACTTGGCAGCGTTTGCATGTTTACTTGTAAAAATCCTTCAAATTAAAAGTCTTGGAAGGCAAAGTTCATGTACTCATGCCTTTACTCTGACACACTTGATTTGAACCAGGAATGTAACCCAAAACTTGGCTGACAAACAAAAATAGCACTACTTTCAAAAAGAGACTTAATGCTTTTTTTTATTAAAGATACTGAAACGATTGTATGTCTTACATGGCTGAACTTGACCTTTGAGGTTAAACCATTTTTATGAAATCAGGACTCTGCGAGACTCACAGGGACTCAGGTTTCAGCTTTTGAGTGACCTTGCTTCGATGACTTTACACTGCATCAGCACGCCAGTATCAAACGCCTCAGCTCAGGTTATACTGAGGCATGGCAACTCAAAAACAAGACACAAATCTGTGTTTAAGGATAACTTTTATTTCAACATTGAAGACGAGTACAAAATAAACAGCAAGTAATCATTCAAAGTGGGTCCCCACAGGCGCCATCACAGGGGCAGCAGAGGCTGATGCTGCACACTCCTCACTGGCAGCAGCTGGTGTCGCACGTCTTCCCTTTGCACACGCAGCCAGAGGCACACTTGGTGCAGCCGGATGGGCAACAGGGGCAGCAGCCTGCAATAAGAAACAGATAGACCAGTGGTTAAGGGTGTGTAGCCTGGAAATGAAATTAAAATAGACAAGAGCTGATGCCACTAATTCCAGGACATTAATATTAAGACATTTTGAGAGCATCTTTACAGAAAAAGGTTGGTGAACTGGGTGGATTAGAATTTACACATTGTACGTGGCAGCTAATTAAGCCAATTACAACCACCTGGGTACCTGCCTACAGCTCATGTAACAAGGTGATTTTAAGACAGACAATACCATAATTAAAGTGCTGAATTTTAAAGAAATTACACAAGTGAGCCATTTAAAAGGGGAATATAAAATTATATATTTAGTGGATTGGGGAGAAAACAAAAAAGGTGCGTTTACCCTGCTATTTTATGTCAAAATGGCTGCTGTGAAGAAGTCTACAGCCAGACTGGGTTCAGATTAAAACAGTTACTCTCTACAGGTCATCAGTGTAAGGATGTTATTTGACTTACTCTTCTTGCAGCTGGTGCAGGAGCAGTTTGTGCAAGTGCAGGATCCTCCGCAGTTGCAGGTTCCACCTTAAAAAAAAAAAAAAACACAACAAAATCAGGTAGATGAGTTTCACATCAGCAGCTAATAAGAGATAAATAAGAATATTAAGCCACAACCAGAGAACACTTACTCTTTGAGCAGTCGCAAGGGTCCATGTTTTCAGTTCAGGTGATGTCTTCAGGCTCTCAGTGTGAAGATGTCGTGTCTTCAGTGTCGAGTCAGTGTTATGGTCTGTCAGGCAATGGAGCAGCTCTTTTATAGCCACCAGGGAACAACAGGACCGGGTGCAAAAATGCGCCTGTCACGCTTGCACGCAGGCGCAGCAGACGATCACATACGAGTCTGTGCACACGACATGAGCGGAAACACAGAGAGTCCCAGGCTGGGAAATTACGTAAGACCCCCGGACCCCCATTTATACCCCCTCCCTGGAGACACTGCACCCCCGGAATAATGAACGTGTTTACAGGAACAACATTATTGTGTGTGTGGCATGTAGAGAGAACATTCACCTGTTTAATTCCCAGGTGTGTCCGGACACTAAACGCCACCTGTTCGCTTTTTTCTTTACACTTGTGCAGTCAGTACGTTAGATGGGAGGTTTATTGATGCTCTTTAATGTGGAAATCCGTGAGCACAAATAGTGGTGTGCACAAATCAATAAGTCACGCGCTCGGTGTGCGCACGGGTACGGAATGAGAGCGCGTGGAGAGATGATGCGTTCACGGGTACGACTTCCGACGTATGTGGGCCCCTGGAAGTTAATAAAGTTATATTATAAAGTAATGTTATAATGAGAAATGACTTCATTAAAGCTCAGACAAATAACTGCTGTCAAAGAAAACAACCCACATAATGTATAGATTGTATTTAATTATATTCTGTGTTCATTGTTATGCACCAATTTACCAAAGTAATAAATCTGATTCTGATAATTATCTGGTAAATTCTAATTCTAGGCCATTTTGTTATATTATTATTAATATATTAGCCAGTTTACTCCCCTTTAAGATAAGATAAGATGAAATAAATATATAATACAGATATAGTAGAGAATATGGTGTGCAAGACATTTAAACAGTATAAATAACTATACATGTGAGATTATTACAATAAAGTAATTCTGATTATGATATATAGATATAAGGGCAGTCCATTTACCATATTTATACACTGCACATATTTAAAACCATTCATTTTGTGCTTTTATTTAACTAGTATAGCAGCCCAATATTGAATTACATACTCATTTTATTCTGAAGGCTTGTTGTATTTCCAGAAAAACTTTGCTTCAAAATACAAATAGATGAAAATATAAAGTATATACATCCTGATATTAAAAGGTTTTTAAATCAACCACGTGTCCTATAAGTGGATTTACAGTTGCACTGACCTTACTCTGATTAATTTATGTCGATAATAGAAATGTCAATGTCATGGTGAGGTTTTCAAAATAAACAGTTATTTCCCCATCGCATGTAAACAGTGTTTGGGCCGTGCTTCCAGCTCTGTGCACACGGTTCAAACACACTTTTGTCTGCGGTGGTTTCTGCACCCGGAGCTCGTGAGCAAACCAAAGTAAACAGCCCATTGTAATGTGCTGCCTTCAGGGACCGGGCTGCTGTGGGAAATATCTAACTCCCGAGTCGAGTGCGTGGGACAACTTCCCCCAGAGATCGCACAGAATTATGGTGTGTTTAAACCCATCGAGGCGTTTATTAGTATGTATAATGGTATTATAATTTCATGATGAAACCTGCTGGATTTCCACTGTTTACATTCCCTGCCCGCGGAGGTAGGAGGTTGTGGTGGGAGCCTGAAGGCAACATTGTCCCCCCGCCTTTGTTGATACTGGGTTGCTTTTTTGCGCTCGCCACTGTCCGGCTGTGCTTTTCCACTGAAGTAACAGTGCGAGGCAGTTGTGAGTTGAGTCATTAAAGGGTGTAACTAATGAAAGCTGTCGGGAAAACACTAAAGTGTAACTTGTGAAATAGCAACTAGAATACCAATGAAGAATGATAAAATAACATCCCAGACGTTGTTACATGAAATGTGGTTCCTGAGAAATATAAAATGTGTTTCTGTGTATTGTCAATGTCTTGTTTTGTAGGTCTAACGGGGGACAAATTCTCCATAAGATGACCAGCGTTATAGTAATAATATTACAGTAATAATATGACTTTCTAACTAGTAAGTTAGTAGTATAACTAATAAACAATCCAATCACATCCTTGGATTCATTTTTCTAATCATGAAGGAACCTTCACTTCATTCTTTCACCAATCCACACACAATGCTGACAAAGTCAAAAACAGGTTTTTAACTTTGCATTTGCTACTGATTACGTATGAGGCATTTGAGATACTGATATCTTGTTAGAAGATAATTATGGACCACTTTGATTTGTCATTTTGCCGTATTGTGATTATAGGTTCTGAAACATATCCAACACATTTCTGTATGCACTGCAGTTTCATGAGATGACGACGAATGTTAGGAATTGAGTAAGAGTGGATGTGACTGTGCTTGCATGTGCTGAATTCTGCTGTTTCATTTTGTGATTATTCACACGGACTCTTTTTGCTTACATGTAACTCAGATCACATTGTTTTCCTGACAGTGTGAACAATTCTTTCATATGTGCTCCAAATCAGATACTGGTCTAATTCTTTGCACCTCTGAATGCATGTGACTTTTACGTCACTATAGATCTTCGTTCCTCATTCAGGTCACTTCAGGATTGTGACCTTTTCACACTGGAATCTGATAACAGCCAAGATTTGATCTGATATTAGAGGATTAATGAAGTGTTATAAGTATAATAAATGCAAAAACACTCCTTAACTAAGCTCTGTGAACCCTGATTCCTCATTTTGTCCGTTAAGACTTAGTTTGGGTTCTGGCTCAGAAACTTAAACACAAATGGTATTAATTTATATTTCCTCCCATGTCACTAGTTAGTTAAAACATTTAAATATGTGGTCTATAACTTGTAAACACAACTCCCCATGTACAGCCATTAACAGTCGGGTGCTGGAAGGTCGCAGGACTGTGAACTTAACAATAATTTTTTCGCCTGTAGCTTCTTCAGGTTAACTTAACTAAAACAAAAACAAAAAAAACAAAAAAAATTGTAAAATTTGTCTGTAAATTAAAAAAAAATTAAGTTTAAAAAAGTTTTTTACTGAGTGAACCTGAAGAAGATGCAGCCAAAATGCATTGTTTCCTAATAAATCAAAGTAAAGTCATTCCAGTGTGCGCTATTTAATTTGGATTTGGATTATATTGGTTTTGATAAACTGAAGATGCCCAGTGTTTTCTAAACCCAGAGTCCAAACGATGATGATTCACTCTGTTTTTCTGGGACACTGGGGTTGGCATCCATAAATAATGAGCAGAGAGGTCTGTATTGAGAGAAAGGCACGTGTGCACACTGCACAGGGAGGTGCTGTTTGTGTCAGAGGGCTCTAGAGGGAGACATCTACACATTTTACAGAGGAAGCTTTCAGTAGAGCTTTGCACTGTTAAAACTGGTGGTTCCCAACCTTTTGGAGTCGGGAACTTCCGCCAGCAGAGACTGTTCAGGGAATACTGTAATATAACACACGAAAGCTACCAAACTCACACAGGAGGACCATTGTTTTGCCCACAAACAGAACAACAACTAATTTGATTTTGGGTATATTCAGAGTCAGCAGTCAAAATGTCTGCTTTAGGCCTAAAATAACAACAATAGATAGAAACACATTCTCATATTACTGATGTAACCAGGTATAAAAACAGGTTATGTATCCTATATTAGTGTTTTTGAGTTGTCTTGTCCCCTGTTGATTGTCATTAAAAGGTTGTCAACCCTGAGAGCTGCTTCCTGTCTCTCATTCCACACTGTTTTTCACAATTTGTTGTTTAATTTTATCATCCACAACCATTTGACATCCTCAGGAAATGATCTTGCGACACCCTTGGGGGTCCCAACCCCCAGTTTAAGAACCACTGAACTAAGATAGGAATGGAAAGCAATCAGGGTAAATGACAACCTTCCACATTTACTGTCACATTTAGAAGTTAATGGGTGGAAAAGTGAAGGACACAACACATAAACTTTACATAACCAAAACATAATCTACTATCTAATGTAAACCATCCACATACAGTAGCTGTACATTGCATTAGAGATATTTGTGTAATCAATACAAGTGATGATGGATAAAAAATAACATCAGCTGCAGAAAAAGGAGGAGCTCTTTGCATGAAAACATTCACCATCTTGTTTAGCTTCTCTGCGCAGGTCCAGTCCTGCTTATTCTGAGGAGAAGAGATCACATCGCTTCTCGCTCTCTGACAGCATGTACGTTGTTGCCTGCGAGTGTTTGTGTGCAACAGGTCGGAAGAGTTGACATACAGTCAGACACTCTGGGTCTGATGGGATGTTTAACGATCAAGAGGCGATAAATACTCTTTCCTCCTGTTAAAATTCACACTCACTTATGTACGTGTGTGTGTGTGTGTGCAAAGGGCAGACAGCTCAGGGGAGAATTTGATCCTAAAGCCCAGCATGGGTCAGGGCACATGCACTGCAAAAAAAGGCATGCTTACCCTCACAAGTGAGTTTATTTGGCATTAAAACAGATCTAAAAACAGGAAATGTAAGGTTTAATTGCCACAATGCCATTTCTGATGACTTATGGAGTTCAATATATACATAAAACAACATCAGATTATTTCACTTTTTTCAAATAAATGTTCTCATGAAATAATTACATTTCTCTAAATCAAATCATCAATATTTAAAGGCAGCAGGGAAAGATTCTTTCATTCAAACCCTCCTGAAATGGGCAGATCTTGCTGGAAGATCCAGTCTTGCTGTGTCACTGAGCTACTTGTTATTTGCTGAGCATGCTGGTATCTCCTTCCAGCAGGCCCGACACGTCTATCTCCCTGGATCCCCTCAACATACTTTACTGCCTCAGTAAAATAAAGCAAAGAAGACTTTCCCTCTGAATCTCCACCAGCTTCCAGAAAACATTTACACTAGTGGAAAACGTATTGGATTGGATGGTAAACTCATATCAGCAGCGTGTAATTCATCCACCGCTGAGGGCCACGTGCTTTCTGTCACAAATCATAAATGCTGGAGGAAGGAGGACTCGTTTACTTTCTAGAAAGATTCACATGCTTTTGACGTCTGGCTCTCGTCCTGAAGCAGGTCAGTTCGGCTATGAGCTCTTTTGGAATTCCTAATTAAATAATGCTTAGAAAGCATGAAACGGCTTTTTGGAATTTCTTAATGTGACCACAGAGATTAACACTGAAACAATAACAGTTTAACACATCTGACATCTGGGTGAATAAGCCTTTAGTGTATGTGATATATTTGGTTTGCAGTGAAGGCTGTCCTGCAGCAGGTGCTTCGTTATCATTATGCTGCTGTTTCTGTTTGTTTACCATTTACAGCAGGAATATCTATAGGTGTATGTTTTAATGGTAATTATTCTGGAATCACACAGCTAAGAATGTGACTATATTTATGTTGCTTTTATCTTTTAACCATCTTCAAAATGTGGTTGTCTTGTGGCGACTACTTTGCTTATATCCTGTTATATCCCGTTATATCCTGCATGGGATTTCCTTAGCATCACTTGGGGACAGATTTGTTTTCTGTGAGCAGATTCCTGCAGTTATAATCCTTTCAAAAACTCCACATAGCTATATGTTGGCTGACCGTATTGCTGACAGTGCCCCCGTTTGTTTGCATTGTATGGTAAATCTACTACAGCTGAATAGACTGATTGGGTCTGAGAAAAGGTCATCAATCAAGTTTAACAGGACTTTAACAGATGCAGCTTCTGATTACCAGCTCAGGACTTTGGTCTAATCATCAGTAAAGTGATGTGGTCGCTCACAAACAGTCAGCATTAGTGGAGGACCACAGGAGCTGTAGGGTGAAGAAGGACAGTTGTATTTATAGACAAGCCACATTAGAGTGTTCTGAGCTATGAGGACACATGTATAGTGACTTGCATTAAGACAGTGGTGATTTGTACAGGTAGGAATATTTAATTTGACTGTCTTATAACTGTGCTTGTTGTTTTTTCTCCTTCTGTTTCACTGTTTCATGTGTTGCAGTGTTAAATGTCGACATAAACTATGGCCAGATTAGTCTCAATAGAAAACATGGAGAAGAGAATAATCCCAAAAAAGGATCAAATGGAAGCTATTGATGTATAAACCTTAAGCCTCACGGTGTGTTTGAATTGCAAAGTGATTCAGGTCGGATCTGGATTTACAAGCCTTTGAAAAAATCCTCACAAAGACATGATAATTGCTACCTTTGCACAGATATGTGTCCAGTTCTTTCCCTTCACATTGGCCATTAGTAAGTAAAGTAAAGTAAAGTTTATTTATAAAGCACATTTAAACACAGCTATCACTGACCAAAGTGCTGTACAGAATAAGAAAAATAATAAAAAGTCAGCATTCAATAAAATAAAACAAATT